GTGAGAGTGTGTCTTTTAGAAATGTCAAAAGAAGGGTTGGGGAGATGGCTCAGTTAAGAGCACTGACTGTTCTTCCAAAGGTCCTGAGTTCAATTCCCAGCAACCACTGGCTCATAATCATCTGTAATGGGATCCGATGCCTTCTTCTGGTGTGTCTGAAGACAGCAACAATGTGCTCATATAATTAAAATAAGTAAGTCTTGAAAAAAATGCCAAAGAAGCTACCATAACTATTAAATCTCATAAACATGGCTGCCTGAACATGACCCAAAGATAACTCTATAATGCATGCTAACATCATGGCTGCTTGAACATGACTCAAACAAGGATGACTCCATAATACATGCTAACATACAACAGGGAACGCTCACAAGGCTTCAACGCTAGACAAAGAGCTACAGGCAACTAAGGAATGCCCAGAGCAGGAAAGATAGTCTTCCCCAGGGGAGAGCACACCAACTGGTTATCCAGTATCAAATGGTCAGCCCTGAAAACATATACATAAAAGCAACATTACACAGTCTCAATGGGTTGTATTTATATTCTTAGGAATATATAAATATGCACAGACATATGTGCAACAACAATAAATAAAAGAAGCCATGCATTTCAAAGAGAACAAAGGGAGACATGGAAGGAGTTGAGTAGAGGAAAGGGAGGGCTGAAGGATGTAATTATAATCTCAAAACAATTTTAATTATTTTAAAAAAGAAGAAAACTGCCAGGACATGTTTTACCTTTAATTTTGGAAGTGAAACTTGTAGACAAGGAATTGGGGCTTTGTATTTACCAGGATAGTTGATTGACTATTAGTGACTATGACTGTCATAGCTACACCACTTATCAACAGTCCTGTGGAAAAGGGTTTGCTTTTGTACTTTAAACTCTCAATCAGATTGAACGTGTGGAACCATTGCTACACTGAAAACAGTACCAGGTACACTGGTAACTGGTAATGGTGTAGTTTGCTCCTGATAGCAAAATGAAGATTGGTAGCTATTGATTTTTAGCCACATCTTTACCTGATTTGGTATCATGGCTTGGTAAAAAGGTGTTCATGGCTCTGTAAATATTCACATTTGAGATTTATGAAAGGTAAAGAAGTAAGTTGAACTTCAGGATGGCACCAGGGTTGGTGATGTTAGTTCTCTCTTCATTAGTGGGCAATGAGCCATATATCTGATGAAGGGATAGACACTATGGGTTTGGGGCACAAGTACTCTTAGAGGAAGAGAGGCCTTAAAAATGGCATCCAACTAGAAGCTGTATACAGAGTGCTTTATGAAATGTGCATGATCTCTTCTGACTCTACAGGACCTTATGGCTGTGTTTTCAGTATCAGAGAATATTTGCTATAATGTAGACTAAGAAGTTTTTATTGCTTTCCTTAACATTCAGAGGGGAAAAAAGGTTTGCTTTTTTTTTTAAGGTGAATATTTACATATGCTTTATACTTACTGCTCTTTCAAAGGAGCTGGGTTTGGTTAACAGCACCCACGAGGCTGCACACGACCACCTGCAATTTCAATTCCAGGAGATCCCACACCCTTTTCTGCCCTCAATGTTCTCACACATATATGATGTACACATGCAGGCTCACACAGAGACACACACTTAAAAAAAAATTTAAATGTGCCTTTAAAAAAATGTCCTGCTTGATAGCCTAGGTTGGCCTAAAAAACTCACTGTCTAGTCCAGGCCAGGCCAAGTTGTCCTCAAACTTGGGGCAATTCCAAATGCCGAGATTATATTCATGAGCCCCCATGCCTGGCTAAACTATGCTTTTAATGAGATATTACAAATAAATGTGCTTACTGCCTTTTCATGCACACGGATGTGTAAAATATAAGTGACATTAATATTTATAGTTCAGAAAGACGTCAACATCATAAAAATACGGCTTAATACCACAGAAATAAAAAAAACTTTTATTTTTTATTTAATATGTATATTAGTATGTTTTCCTGAGTTTATGTGCACACAGGTGCCTAAGGAGACCTATGAGCACTGGATTTCCTAGAGCTGGAGGTTGTGAATCACTTCATTAGGTGCTGGGAACTGAATCCAGATCCTCTGCAAGAGCAGGAAGCATTCTTAGCTGCTGAGCCACCTTTTCAGCCTAGAGAGATAACTTTCTTTTTTTTTTTTTAAAGAGAGTATGTGTTAGCAAATTCTTGCAGGTATCTATTATTCACATTCAAAATTTATCTATTTTTATTTTATGACAAGGTTAGCCTTCTAAAAGATCCAGAGAGCTATTTATCTTTTATAACATGTATAATAAATATTTTGCTTCAAGGCTAGTAGCAAAATTTTATTGAAGATGTATACATACACACACACAATATATATGTACACACACAAGTATACTATGTATAAACATGTGTAAACCTTTTAGCAATCCTGAAACTGTGATGATGTACCTTCAATTAATGTATCTGTATTGTGAAAATGTTAATAGACAGTATTACACATTTTGATATAACTATTCCTTAAAAGAAATTATACCCTTGATTTGATGAAATATGGCACTGAGACGAGACCTATGACACAGAAATTAGAAAGAGCCTAATAGCACAATAAATGGTGAGCTTTGGCAGGAACATGGCCTGGCCTCAAGTCCCATTTCTTCTGTCCTCAGCAGGCGGCTTTGGACAGTAAGACTTCCAAACCTTGGTTCCCTGAGTGTCTCTGCTGTTGGGATGGTGACATGAGCTTCATGGGACTGGGGACCAGTCTCTAACACTCACAGCACATATGCCTTGGCCTGTGCATGGTATTTAGCATTTAAAACACTCAGAAAAAAAGTTACAGATGCTGGTGATTATTTCTGCTAATTGCTTCTCTATTTATGACAGCAAGCATTTAAGAAGAAACTTGACCGACTCACTTTTGAATGATTTTTCTCAGTCTTATTTCCAGTGCACATGTATATTCATGGTGAGAGAGAGAGATCTTGTGCCACAGTGGAAGTCAGAGGACAACTTGCAGGAGTCAGTTCTCATCTTCCGTTAGTCGGGTTCTAGCGATGGAACTCAGGCTATCTTAGCGGCAAGTGCTGTTATCTACTGCACCATTTCATTGGTCCTAGATGTTTTTCTTTTTTGATAGGGTCTCTTGCAGCCTTGCCATCCCCATCCACCCCACTTGAGTACTGAGATTACAGGGAGTTCACCACTACATCAGGTTGTTTAAATGGACAGTTTTCATTTGATTGACAGTGTGATCATTCATTTTGGCTTCTAACCTTTACATTTATAAGTGCTCCCTCATTAAGTGTAATCTTTTGGAACTCTACACTAAATGCTGTGGAAAGGGAGTATAATATGTTGGTTTTCTCAGTGACTTTGCCCTTAACTGTCAATCAATACAAGAAACTGATCAAGACAAGACTATTTATGAACATGTAACTTTTTTATACGGTGGTTATTACGCACATCATTGTTACTTTTATGATGAACTATTAAACCGGGGGATTTTTTTTTTTAAGACAGAGTCTCATGTATCTGAGGGTGACCTTGAACTCATCATCCCACCTCCACCTCCCTAGGCCTGGGTGGGCACACTGCTGTGCTCTTAGTCTTAAACTATTCTTATGCTTTGATGAAATGAAACTGAAATTCCTCTTCAGTGCCAACTTTGAGGCCCAAAGTGGACACTTCACTGTCTCCCACTGATGTTTGTCTTCCATCACCTACTCAGTAATGAAACTGTTTCCGTTGTCATGACAGTTCTCTTACTAAGACCTGCACTCCCACCTTGACACTGGCCTATTTTTGTTACCTTGATGTTTCTAAACTATGGCCTGATAGTTAAGAACATAGTTCCACTGTTCACTCCGCAAGTATGTACTGAGTGCTTACCTTATGAGAAGCATGGTGTTATCCCATATTAAGATGTACAAACAAATTAAAGTGTGTATAAATAACTATAGCTCACAGTCAGAAAGCACTAATAAAGTTCAGAAGGTATTGTGGAACCCAGCGGAAGTAAAACTCACTCCCTGTAAAATCTTAGAGAATGGATGTAACTTCAATGTCAACATCTGGAGGGGGGGGGAGGCAGAAGGTGGGGGTTAATATTCTAAACATAAGGGGACCCTGACAAACTATAAAAACGTGAGTATTCATGAACTGCTACAGCAATTTGGTCTGGTTTACTGTGAGCGAGGGAATGAAAGAGAAACATCAGAAAATTGAACTTTGAATCCAAATTAAGATTGTTGGCCTCGGCAGCAAGGAGTTATTGAATATTCTGAATCCCAGCTGTGCTCGAATATGATTGTATCTATGGCAGTTGTGTGAAAATACGCTGCTGAGGGGGAGTGACTTAGGCAATGGGTTACGGGAGTGGATGGATGCCCAAGTTACAAGGATCAAAGAACAGAACGTGACGTCTGACTGGGGCACGGAAAGAAAAGATATCCAATTTCGACACTAAACTTTCCAGGCTGATTGTAGTCCCAAGGAGAGGGCACGGTCAGGGAAACAATCTGAGAAGGATCAAGTTACACCGGCATCTCCACACTAGCCAACACCCAGGACTTTGGGAGGGAGCGGAATACGGATGCATTTCAGCACATAGACAACGGCGCGCAGGAACCTTACTGCCGAGGCCCGTTAGGAACCGGCATCGCCCAAGCAGGGCAGTCGCGTCTGCTCCTCACCCGCGCCGCCCGGGCTCCGGCTTCTAGGTCTCCATTGACGCCGGGGTCGCAAGCAGCCTTCCCTGCTAGTCCTAGTCTCAGACTTTCCCTCCCAGTGCATCAGGCGCTGCCAGTTCGAGGGATTTTGTAGATGACGACGTCTTTTACCCATCGGCCAGCAGGCTGACTGCGAAAAGACCGCACTGCCCACCTTCGCCACGTTGCTCGACCTAGGGTGGCTTCTCAGGGGTCGCGCCAAAGTTCGAATGCGAGGGGCGTGGCAGGAGAAAAAAAAACGCGACGAATTCTAGATATCGCGAGATCTGACAAGCAACTCCGACTTATGCGCTCCGGAAGCGGAAGTCGGGTAGTTGAGGGAGTCCTGAGCGTTTGGTTACCTAGGAGAGCGGCGTGGGGTGCTGCTGTGTGGACACCCGGGGGCTCTCCAGTGCGTCTCCGGAAGGGTGAGCACAGCCCTGGGCGGCTGAATCTCCCATCCGGGGCGGCGGAGGGGATGGGGGGCTGGAGCTGGGAGGCGGGAAGGCCCGAGGCCGCTGCTCCTCGGAGCCTTTCCCCTCAGGTCGGCTCTTTAAGGCGCTAGTAGTTCTTCAGTGGAAGAGCGAGTTTCCTCTTTGGGCTGCTAGGGCTGGGGTTCTTGAGTCTTTTTTAATCGAGGCCTGTGTGTACTCATTCCCACGTCTTTGAAAAATAAAAATAAAAAAAAAGAATTGTGTTTGCGGTTTGTGTGTGCTGGTGCCCGCGGAGGCCAGAAGAGGGCGTCGGACCCCCCGGAGCTACATTTCAGGCAGTTGTGTGCTGCTCACCGTGGGTGCTGGGATCCGATCTGTGGTCCTTTGGAAATATTAAATATGTATAATATATATTTAATTAAATATATACTAATAAATATATTTATTATATATCATAATAGCATTTTTCCCTTTCCTACCTTCAGACCCTCCCTTTTATCCCCCTTAGCTCTCTTTCAATTCAGTCTTTTTAGTTGTTACATATATGTAGATAGGTAAATATCTATAACATGCTCAGTTCGTATATTGTTACTTACATGTGTGTTTTCAGGGCTAATCATGTATAGTATTAGATAACCATTTAGTGTGCTCTTCCCTTGAGAAGACTCTTTCTCTTGTTCTTAGCATTCCTTAGTTGCCTGTAGTTCTTTGTTGAGGCATCTTCAGTTTTCCTCTTCCACATTAGTTTGTCTTTTGGTAATGTCCCCGGCCCATGTTTAATCAACCTAAACACTAAACAGTATAGTTCTCTCAAATCCTTGGGTTAAGTAAAGCTTGCATTAAGGTTTTGTTTCAATTCCATTCTCATGAATACGTATGAAGATACCTATGTGGTAGGGTATGGGGAGAATAGAGTAGTGCATTTTCCTTACCGTATGAATTTACTGTCTTAGTTGGAAATGGGGCATTCTTCTAGTGGCTTCTGTGGTTAGTTTGGAGTCGCAGACACATTTAATCAGCTGGGAGTTTTCCTTGTCTTGTTTTGAGACAGTGTCCCTCCACATAGCTCTGGCTGTCCTGGAATGTACTCTGTACACCAGCCTAGCCTCAAATTCAGCCACCTGACTCTGCCTCCCAAGTGATGGGATTAAAGGCATGTGTCACTATACTCCACCTAGTTGGATTTATTTTAAACTCATTTGGTTTTGGTATTTAATATTAGTTTGCCAATACCAGACACAAGGAAGTACAATAAGGCAGAATCTAAGTAGTAGCCCAAAAGGTAAAAATGTCCAAGTACTGTTTCTTATATTTAGTGAGCAATTCTAGTTTAATTTTATTGGAATAAGTGTAGTACTGTTATAAATGCTTATATATTTTGAGGAAAGACAAAGCAATGAAGAAACTGTCTTCTAGTTATTTAACTCATCAAAAGCTTTATTAAAAGTGTAGTTAATTAGTACAAGGAAAAATGACTTGAGGATATCGGGGGAAAGATGTGGTTTTAAGCTTTTAGCATGATATTTAATATATCTCAAATCACAAAATAGGTTTTGGTCCTTTCTCTTTGCCAAGGCTGGTTTTGTACTTCTAGGCTCAGTTGATCCTCCTGCCTCAGGCCCAGGAATGCTAGGTCTACAACATGGGCCATTTTCCCTATCAGGTTTAGGAAGTTTGAATTAGGAAAGCTAGGGAATGAACAAGCTCGACAATACTTGGTCACAGAAGACTGGGGAGTGGGAGCTACCTATATAATTCTGCAGTTTCAAGATCTTAGATGAAGATTAAAAGTGAACTCTGAATTCTGGTTTCTTGAGGATTAGACTTGCAAGTTAAGCAAAATCTTTTCCTTTAAGTAGAAGGTTAAAGAAATTCTATTTTTTAATGGATCCATATATTGTGTAGAAAAATCAGCTGTTAAGAGACTCATTTTTATTTTTTATTAGATACTTTCTTTATTTACATTTCAAGTGTTATCCCCCTTCCTGTTCCCCCACCCATATTTTTAATTTTTATTACATTCATTTGTGTGTGGGTCTATATGTCATGGTACACATGTGAAGGTCAGAGGACAACTTGTAGGAGTCTGTTCTCTGTTTCTGCCATATGGGACCTGAGGTTTGAACTAAGGTTCTTAGCCTTGGCCACAAGCACCTTCATTTACTCACTGAGCTATCTTGCCGGCCCAGATTATACTTTTTACATTCATTAGACAGTGTCTTACTTATTATCGTTAGATGTTTTTCATTTCTCACAGGATCTGGAATAATAATACATTACATTGGATTATAAAATAGTTACTCATAACTTTTAATAACCATACATCTAAATGCCTGTTTTTATATATGTTGCTTGGGTTGGCTTCAGACTCCTGGTTCAAGTAATATCAGTATCCGTCAGTATCTGAAGTAGCTGATACCACAGGTATACATTTAGGAAGCTATACCCAGCTTCTCCTTTTTCTTTATTCACTTTTGTTTGGGGCTGAGAGAGGGCTGGTTTTTTGTTTGTTTGTTTGTTTGTTTTTAACAGGGTCTTTGTTTTGTTTTTGTTTTTTTCGAGACATAGTTTCTCTGTGTAGTCTTGGCTATCTTGGAATTTACACTATAGGCCAGACTGGCTTTGAACTCAGAGATCCACCTACCTCTGCCTCTGGAATATTGGGATTAAAGGCATGTGCAAATGACAGGGTCTTCCTTTATAACCTAAGTTGGTCTCAAACCTCAAAATTCTTATGTTTTAGCCTCATGAGTGCTGTGACTTCAGCTACTGATTTAATTATTCAAGATTCTTAAAAATTCCAATTTCTCATCTTATAGTTAATTCTCAGTCATTTGCAGTTGTGCTTCATTTCTTACTACTATAAAACAGTCACCTGATATCTGAATCCAGTTCTGTTTGGTTCTTTATGCCATTGTCTTGTTTTCCAATATCAACTACTATTTAGTCTCTTACCTTATATGGTAATCTTTTCTATTTGTCTTCTCTGTGTGTTCCAGAAGCATTGTTTCATGTTCATCTCTTTCTCTCAGTTAACTGAATGACACTCTGATGAATGGGCCGCAGCTCTCTTTAAATTCATTGTGCCTTTACTCACCTTTCTAGTAGTCCCTGTGGCACTGTAACGTGTGTAATCACTTGCAGGAAGCCTGAGAATTATCCTGTATTTCTCCTTCCATATCTTGTTGGTGACTATTTCTTCCTGCAGTTCTTTTTTTTTTTTTTTTTAATATTTATTTATTTATTTTATTGGTGAGTACACTGTAGCTGTCTTCAGACACACCAGAAGAGGGCATCCAATCTCATTACGGATGGTTGTGAGCCACCATGTGGTTGCTGGGATTTGAACTCAGGACCTCTGGAAGAGCAGTCAGTGCTCTTAACCGCTGAGCCATCTCTCCAGCCCACCTGCAGTTCTTTTAAAATTGCTTTCTTAGTCCCTGCCTCACATTAACCTTTCAGTATGTTATCTATATTACTACAGCAACCTGCCTTTTGTTTAGTTTCACTAGTCTCTACCTAGTCCTTCTAAATAGTAAAATGGATCTTTTTTTAATTTTTGTTTATGGGATCTCGCTATATAGCCCTTGCTGGCCTGGAATTAACTGTAGACCAGGTTGGCCTGCAGTTCCTCCTGCCTTTGCTTCCTGTCTATTGGTATGTATTATGGCACAGGATGGTAGATTGGATCGGTCCTTCTTAAGTTACCCATAATTCCCATTGCCTATCAGAAGATACAAAATTATTTGCATTGGATACAATGTTTTTCACAATTCGCCCCTGGGTTACCTCTCTAGTGTTTATTTCTTGATGTCTTCTGCTTCTTCCTTTATGTTTACATCATATCTGTCTCCCTTATGCTTTGTATTATGTCTGTATGCCTGTGGGGTGCATACGGAAACCAGATGTCCGCTTCAGGCTCATTCTTCAGGAGCTGTGTACCTTGATTTTTGAACTGGAACCTGGGGTTTGTCATTCAGCTAGGCTGGGAACAAGTTCCAGGGATCTGCCTGTGTCTGCTTCCCCAGCACTGGATTATAAGCCTATACCACTGGGCCTGGCTTTCATACATGTGCTGGAGAGCAAACTCAGGTCTTACAGGACAAGCGTGTTACCAGTTAAGCTATCCTCCCCGGCCTCAAATATGTATCTTCTAGACTGGTGACTCTGGGAGGTATGGCCCTGGTATTTATTGTTCATCTTATTTATTGTTCAGGCTCCAGTAGCATATTGTACTCAATAACTGCTGAACTGAATGTTTATAATCTTGGATTTAAAAATACATAGGGACTTTTATTCATACTTTATCCAGAATTGTTCACTTCTTGTTTGTTTTTCATCAGCTGACAAGTCAGTGTTATTTTTTTTTTCTTACAGATCTTAAAAATTGTACAGAACTTCAAGATGAGTGATACTTCTGAAATGATTCCAATTTTTGAAGAGATGTTTGCCAGCAGATTCACACAAGATGACAAAGAATACCAGGAACACTTGAAACGGCCTCCTGAGTCCCCTCCAATTGTTGAGGAATGGAATAGCAGAGCTGGTGGTAACCAAAGAAATAGAGGCAACTGGTATGTGTTATTTCTGCAGGATAAATGCAGAGGGTGATCTGGGAGACAAGAGCTTTAATATGGTTGCTCACAAAGCCAGCAAGAGTGGCAACCAGTGCCAGGAACATAATAAGCATATAAATCCTTGCTTTTATATGTCTTGTTGAAGCCAGGCATAGTGATGTAAACCATTCTTTGAGTACTTGGGAGGCTGCAGCAATAGGATTACGAGTTCTAGGCTAGCCTGGGCCAAACAGTGAGACCCTGTCTCTAGTGTTTTCTTTACAAGTATACTTCATTAAACTGGTGTTTTGTGCTCGATATCATAATGAAGGTGTTGTTTTCTTTACTTTACAAATTTTATAAAATGAGGTGGAAAATTAAATGTAATTTAAAACAATAAATGACACTGATGTTATGCATTTAATAGGTGTCAGTTTGATCACAATCGGGGTTACTTGCCTCTGTCTTGTAAAAGGTGTCCAGTGTGATGCTGAAAGAATCACTTAAATCTTAGGAAAATCTGACTAGTGCTGTGCTGTCCACAGAGAAAGAGCCTCAGTTACTAGGATTGATTTCTTGTTTTTATTTTGTAAGAAGAAGTTAATATTTTTGTTTTCTTTTGGTAGGCTGCAAGACAACAGACAGTTTAGAGGTAGGGATAACAGACGCGGATGGCCAAGTGACAATCGATCAAATCAGTGGCATGGACGGTCATGGGGTAACAACAACTACCCACAGCAGAGACCAGAGCCCTACTATCAACAACAGTACCCACAGTATGGCCACAACCAGCGGCCTCCATATGGTTACTACTGACAGATGTCATCAGCTTTTAACAGAGACCTTTTATTTTGACACCGTGCTAAATGCTTGTGTGTCTTCTGTTGGTCATAGCTTTCATTCTGTCTTAAAGAATGGGTTATTAATTGTTTGGAACTTGAGACTTGAAAAAATTAATCTTATTAGAAATGTGATGATTGATAGAAATAAATGTATCAAGTGTGGATTATATTATTTGACTTTATCTTACTGTTTTGTTTTATGATTTAATAGTGTTCTGAGTTTGGTCTGTTTTCCTTATTTGGACTGTAGGGATTCTGTATCACATAAATAAAATTTTTAATTAAAACGCTGGCTTTTGCTTTATGAAAGAATAACATGCTCAGATGTGCTCACCTCTGAAGTGTTTCAGAGGCTAGGACTGTTGGTCTGTGAAAACACGCCTACAATTATTTACAGTGGATTGTACCTAATAACAGCAGTTGAGAGGTCAAAAAGTTATAATGTGTTGCTTCTGTGTTTGTATATGATCATGGTATCTTGTGGTTTCTAAGTGAGTCAGCTCCAGAACTGCTTTGGTCCCTGTGTGGAAGGACTCATTTTCAGTGCAGCCTCCTGAGGTGGCAGTGGGTGGGATGGTAGGTAGCACTTATATCCCAAGGTTTTTGTAAACTTACAGCAGGGAAGAAACAGATGTCCTCTATAACACAATAATCATGTAAATATTGTTGCATTTGACTGTTTTGGTATTTAACATGTGTTGATTTTTGTGAGGTTATCTTCATTTTCAAATGTTGACCTTTGATGCTTCCTCTTACAGCTATAGTAAGGCTATCACTTGCTTCAGAACAATCATTCTTGGAATATTTTAATGATAACAGAGTTATTCAAATAAAAAGTTTTAAAATACTTATTCAGTATGTGTGTACCAAGTTGTGAAAGAATGAATAAATAAACTGCATAAAATGTAGGCAACTTTATCTTTAAGTTTTGACAGCCCATTTACTTATGTGGTAATTACCTAATTGGTTTTTTATTATGCTGTCCTTTATATAGTGAATAAGAGTTAACTTCCTAAGTTTCCCTCTTCTCTTAGCTCCTTGAGATGGACTCTCCCAAGTTCTCTATAACCTGAAAGTATCAAGTCCTTCTTAAAGAGCTATCGCTCAGGTAACCATTTTATTAAAAAGGTTCTAATACCTGAATGCATCAGGTATTCACAATGAGGTAATAAGACTTTAACATAAAGTAAGGCTTTTCCATGTACCCTTCTCATAGCAATAGGCAGTGAGCCACTGTGGCTACATAAAGACAAGTCTTGGTGTTCCAGTACTGCACTAGAGTCAATCACCTGGCTGCACTGCGGGGTCTTTGAAAGGAGAAGAGCTACGAGAAATATCTGTCCACTGGTATAAAGCGAGAGAGTTGAAGTGAGGGATGTATCTCAAGATGCTCAGAAGAAAAGTTGATTTCTAATAGTATTTAAATATTTTAACAAAGAAAGGAAAAAAAAAAAAGCAAGTGAGTCCTCTTAACATGAATTAGTTTTTTCATTCAATATGAGTAACCCATATGGTAGGTAGGTTGTTTATTTTTATTTGATTGTTTTTGTTTTTTGAGACAAGGTTTCTCTGTGTAGGTCTGGCTGTCCTGGCACTCACTCTGTAGACCAGGCTGGCCTCGAACTCAGAAATCCGCCTGCCTCTGCCTCCCAAGTGCTGGGATTAAAGGCGTGTGCCACCATCACCCGGCTTCCAGTCCCATCTTTAAAGGTCTATAACCTTGAGGAAAAATCACTTCAATTTTGGGTTAATAACTTGCCTGCTACCCTTGCAGAGTTGTAAATGTCCAAAGGATGAGTCCGAGGACTGAAACTGACCAGTAAATCCTCAGGCCATAAATACAGCACAAACATTTGTTGGGAGGGAGTATTGGTAAATTGTGAAGCAGAATAGTGCCGAATAACAAGATGGGCCAGGTGTGAGCACAGGCCCCAGGAGGAGACCTAGGCAAGAGGTTCAAAAGCTCTAGGCCAGTCTGGGCTGCATAGTGAGTGCTCTAACATACAAACAAGATTAGGAAAGGCAGGGAACAATGATGGAGACTTAGCATCACTTCCTTATGTATATTCAAATGAAATTGCAAAGAGAGAACAAGATATATTTAGGAAGTAGACACTTCAAGTTTGGAAGAAGTTTATATAAAAGCTGAGCTAAAGTTAATGGCACACACTTTGGAAGTTGCACTCACTTTAAAATGTGTTGATTATCGAACACATCAGATTAAATCCTTTTGAGAACAGCTTGCTGGGGACTTGATTTAAGAATTTCCTGGCACGTGTTTTGCTGTGCTAGAAGGATTTGGGGTAGTTAGCTTATAAATAACCTTGTGCCATTGCTATGAGAGGAGTTTTGGGTTCTTGGAGCCATTTAGGAAGGCATCTGGAAAGATTTCTGGCATTCTTCAGATGTTTAACGGAGAAGGATACAATTTGCCTTTTGTGCTTTATAGATCTCAAGGAAAATACAGGTCCTTATGGTAGAATTAAGAATAAAGAAATGTCAGTTTTCTTTTTTTTATCATTTAAGAGTGGGAATTTTCTGTTACTTAGGTTGGCCCAAATCCCCTAGGGTCAAGCAGCCTTTAGACTCCTGAGTAGCAGGAGACTGCAGGTGTATGCCACCCTGCCCAACCAGAATGTCAGTTTGCTGCTATTATTATTATTATTAATTATTATTTTCTTTATTCACTTTACATCCCCCTCACTGTCCCCCTCCCACAATTCTTCCTCCAACCCCCTTCCCCTTCTCTGAGTGGGTGAGGTGGGCGCCCACTCCTGTATCCTCCCACCTGGCATATCAAGTCTTTATGAGGCTAGGCACATCCTCTCCCACTAAGGTCAGACAAGACATCCCAGCTAGAAGAGCATATCCCACAAATAGGCAGCCAACAGCTTTTGGGTTAGCCTCTGTTCCAGTCGTTTAGGACCCACATGAAGACCAAGGTGCACATCTGCTACATATGTAGGGGAAGCCTAGGTCCAGCCATGTGTGTTCTTTGGTTTATGGTTCAGTCTCTGAGAGCCCCAAAGGTTCAGGTCAGTTGACTCTGTTGGTCTTCCTATGGAGTTCCTATCCCCACCAAGTCCCATAATCCTTCCTCCTGCTCTTCCATGAGAGTCCTCAAGCTCCATCCACTGTTTGGCTGTGGGTATCTGCACATGTCTGAGTTAGCTGGTGGGGGTAGATCCTCTCAGAAGACAGCCACGATAGTTTTAAGAGTGCTAAAGTAGAAGGAAATGACCGTTCATTCCGAAAGTTACTGATGGCACTAAATTTGAATTCTAACAAAAGTACTTGTCTTGGGGTCTCTATTGCTGTGAAGAGACACTATGACCACAGCAACCATTATAAAGGAAACTCTTTAATTAGTGCTGGCTTACAGTTCAAAGCTTTAGTTCACTGTTGTCATGGCAGGAAGTATGGTGGCACACAGGCAGACATGGTACTGGAGACATGGCTAAGAGTTCTACATCTGGAACCACTGGCAGCAGGAAAAAACTGAGACACACTTCTTCCAACAAGGAGTAATGCCACACCTACTCCAACACGGCCACTCCCATGAGCCTCTGGGAGCTGTTTTCTTTCAAACCATCACAGAACTGTACTTTGTTCATAACATTTTTATGCCTTAAATTGTTTTCCACCTTTTTATTCCACTTGACTTTTAAAATTTGTGTTCATTGGTAATCAGTATACATGAGGAAGGTGACAAGGGTGACAGGTACTTGAGGCTCATGATCTCGGGCTGCTGTCATGCTTGGCCCTAGTCTTTGCGCTCCCGGCAAGGCAGTACATTGTGGAAAGAGCATGTAGCAGAGGCTTCACCTCATGATGGTTTGAAAATGAGAGATAAGGGAAGGGCCTGGGTCTGGTTAGCCCCTTTCAAGAACTTCCTTAACTCTCAAGGAGCCCACAGGCTGGAACAAAGCTTTTCACACATGGGCCTTAGGGTCCATCAAAGATTTGGTTGTGGAAGTCTACCTGAGCTGTAGGACTGATACTGAGGAAATAAGCTGGACAACTCCACTTATCCATACCCCAGCCCTGCCTTTTGAGATAGTTTATTTTGAGATTGTTTCACCTTCCCCAGGCTGACCTTGAACTTTCAGTCCTACTTGGGATATGAGCTTCCAGTTAGCACCACTGTCTAGAGTAAAAGAAAATTAACATTGTCAATATTTAGATTAATACTTCAGGATTAAAATATAGCTATACATGATATTTTGTGATATCTAATTAAAAAAACTTCCTAGGTTCTGCTATATTATTAAAGAACAAATGAAATACTAGATCTAATTAGATTCCCAAGGGAACCTTGAGAGCAAATAGTTCCTCCTTTCTAGGAATCTGGTTGATGCTGCTTTCAAGGAAACTAAGGTGAGACGGCATGGCTAGAACTGCTGGAGGTTACTGTGCTCAGAGAAATAAGCCAGACACACCATATATCACCAGCAGAAAGGAATGTTTTGTTGACCACATAAACACATGGAGTAGCACAGAGGTCACTAGAAACTAGGAAGAGGTGGGAGAGGGAAATAGAGGGGATTGGATATAGATTCCAAAATAAAATTAGTGGTGGGAAGTGGCTCTGATATCCCTGAATAGAGTCAATGTAAGACCCATGACACTTTCCAAAATAACTAGAAGGCTGAGTTCCTGACACATGGATATCGTGTGATGATAGAAATGCTAATTTACCCAGATTTAGTCGATAAACTGTACACATATCAAATGATACTATATTCTATGAAAAAAGTACAAATCCTATAGCAGTTACAAAGTAACCAAGCATACAGCGCAGGACTAGGCACATAATGGTGCCTGGCCAATAGCAGCTTCACACCTCCCAGATCTGAAGGCCTCTCTGGATTGGGTTGAGAGGTTCGGCTCACAGTCTCCGTGAATTTATATGCACACCATCCCTGCTGTGTCTGACATCTGGAATCATCTACCACCTTCGCCTCCTCTTTCATATAGATCCCTGAGCCTTGAGACTCTGAAGGGGTTTGGTGAAGACATCCCGCTTAGGGCTGAGTGTTCCAAAGTCCTCCACTGTGCACAGGGTCCACTTGTGGGTCTCTTTGTTAATGACCATCTACTGCCAAAAGAAGCTGTTCTGACAAGGGTTGAATGACACTCTGCTCTGAGGGTATGACATGCAAAGGACCTGCACAGCTTCAAACCAGACAAAATCCCAGCACTGAAGACAGGAAGCGGGCACAAAGCCCCACCCAGGAAACTATATGACATCAACACCTGCATACAGTTGATTTCTTCATGAAAAGGAAAATCAGTCTTTTCCAATGGAGTGTCACTGGGTGTATCAACCACTCTCCGGGGCAGGCCTCATGCCCAGGAGTAGTTGGCTAACACAAAACAGACTCCATTTTTTTTAATGCATTCTTTGTTTTCGTATTTTTTTTTTGTCTTACTGATTTTGATTTTTTTTTTTTGATTTTTCGAGACAGGGTTTCTCTGTGTAGCCCTGGCTGTCCTGGAACTCACTCTGTAGACCAGGTTGGCCTCGAACTCAGAAATCCACCTACCTCTGCCTCCCAAGTGCTGGGATTAAAGGCATGCGCCACCACCGCCCGGCTTTTGTTTTGATTTTTATTTTTTGTTTTTCCTGTGAGGTTACTCTGTGTGTTTTGACTGAGAATATAAAGTTGGGTGGGTAGGGAGGTGGGGAGGATCTTGGTGGGATTGGAGAGGGGAAAGAATGTAATTTAAATATATTGTATAAGCTTTTTTGTAAATAAAAATGCAAAAACTAGTTCAGCTCACAGGGCTGGGGAGCGTAGCTTTTAAAGAGCGTCTGCCGAGCATTCACGAGGTCCTGAGTTTAATTGAC